AAGACATTTGGCTAGGCTCGACGCCTTAGGAAAGCCTCCAAATGTTGCTAGCTAATGGTCCAGCTAATATCCTAACACACCTCACTTCGGGCTCCAAGACCAGAAGATACGTGATTTCAGATAAACAGCCACTGCACCCGACTTTGCCTTTTGCTTAAAAGATCACGGAAGAAAATCGCTCATTAAGAGCACATACTGCGTAGATATTTGAGCGGATAATAAGCTGTAGTTTCAAGGACCGGATGAGTTTAAGGGTATGGAACTGAAGTCCACTATTTAAAGTGCAGGACCAGAGGTGGTAGGGAAGAAAATCAGCCTTAATATGGCATTGAATCTATTTTCTTTTCAATGACATTGAATACTGGCAGGTTGCATCACTTGAATCACTTGATATGCCGAACTGTGAGCAAAAGTGTCTTGTAGGGCTGCCTAACTATCTACTCCCCCGCTCAATTCTTTTATGAACTTGGTGACATAGCATTTAATTCTTGGTTAGCGAGGGAAAATGAATATATAACTGTGTTGAAAGTGAACAAAACATATCAAATTAAAGCCGCTTATCGTTGTTTCAATGAGCAAAATAGAATCAACTCCATCAACATCAACGCCCGTTGCCCAGGTAACTGACGCCTTTTGATGGATATTCGACCTTATATTGGCGCAAGCTAACGAAAAAGAGGGAAATTTGGACTACTGAAAATATAAAAGTAGGATATTATTATAAGTTAAAGGTAAAAAGGACCTCCTAAAGACAGTCCTACCGAAGTGTGTGGTCGCCTAGCCGTTCGCCCTGAAAGCTCAAAAGACAGGGTACTAAGAGTTTTGTTTCAGACACAATAAGACTTCTTAGACGATGTGCAACCGCGTAGGTTGACTTAAGTTAAGTAACTGAACGTGATTGGCCATCTATTCGGCCTCTGTCACCGGGAGTGCGTATGACGGTTCCTCGGCACTGCCCGTCAGTAGACTTTTCAAGGCTTAGCCTGTTTAAACTATTGTGAATAAAAGGATCACGCCTTTTTTCGCTAATTTGCTAAGAATTTTGGCTAATATGCTTGTTTATGTCTTACAAAAGCGAATGTGTCGCATGAGCTGTGCGGAGGGGAAAGAAGTACTCGAACGTATCCAACTCACGCAACCCGACAAACTCTATGCCCTAGACTGCATTAAACGGTAGGTCTCTGGTTTTATTCTACAAGACGTGCTCTTCTTATCAGAACCCTTACGGATCATCAAACCACCGAGGGCACAGAATATATTTTGAGTGCATTCAACTCCGAAGAGGACAAAATCAAGGCGCTCCATCGACTCACAGCGGTATGTTCCAGCCTTCCATGCCCGCTTTTACCGGTTTTTCTCCTGCCTAGATTTCGACATATGCAAACGAGGATCTAGCTGCTGGAGGTCACTTGTTATACGGTCCTGTTGGATCACTCAGTGGACAAAGCTTCCCTCTCTCTGAACACATGTACGGTCCAGTGCAGCAACAACTGGAAGCTCGAGAGGTGAGATAACTTGTTAATCTGTATGTCTATGCATAGGAGTATCTTGAATTGTGCCCCCTAAACGGACCCAATTAGAAGTCTGCTTCCACTATAATCCAGCTCACGTCACCGTCCCTGCGGAGCACACGGGGGATGCTGCCGAAATCGACGGTCAGACTGATGTTCCTTGAGTTACTGTGCGATAAGGCAATCCGAAGGTTAGGGAACG